ACATTCTGAACAACATCAGGAACAACAGCAGCATTTTGAACAACAGGTACAGCAAGAACAAATACATCAACAACAAGCACAGCAAGAACAACAGGTACAACAAGAACAACAACAGCATTTTGAGGAGCAAGTTCAACAGCAACATTCTGAACAACATCAGGAACAACAGCAGCATTTTGAACAACAGGTACAGCAAGAACAAATACATCAACAACAAGCACAGCAAGAACAACAGGTACAACAAGAACAACAACAGCATTTTGAGGAGCAAGTTCAACAGCAACATTCTGAACAACATCAGGAACAACAGCAGCATTTTGAACAACAGGTACAGCAAGAACAAATACATCAACAACAAGCACAGCAAGAACAACAGGTACAACAAGAACAGCAACATGAACAACAGGTACAAGAACAACAACAGCATTTTGAGGAGCAAGTTCAACAGCAACATTCTGAACAACATCAGGAACAACAGCAGCATTTTGAACAACAGGTACAGCAAGAACAAATACATCAACAACAAGCACAGCAAGAACAACAGGTACAACAAGAACAACAACAGCATTTTGAGGAGCAAGTTCAACAGCAACATTCTGAACAACATCAGGAACAACAGCAGCATTTTGAACAACAGGTACAGCAAGAACAAATACATCAACAACAAGCACAGCAAGAACAACAGGTACAACAAGAACAACAACAGCATTTTGAGGAGCAAGTTCAACAGCAACATTCTGAACAACATCAGGAACAACAGCAGCATTTTGAACAACAGGTACAACAAGAACAACAACAGCATTTTGAGGAGCAAGTTCAACAGCAACATTCTGAACAACATCAGGAACAACAGCAGCATTTTGAACAACAGGTACAACAAGAACAACAACAGCATTTTGAGGAGCAAGTTCAACAGCAACATTCTGAACAACATCAGGAACAACAGCAGCATTTTGAACAACAGGTACAGCAAGAACAAATACATCAACAACAAGCACAGCAAGAACAACAGGTACAACAAGAACAGCAACATGAACAACAGGTACAGCAAGAACAAATACATCAACAACAAGCACAGCAAGAACAACAGGTACAACAAGAACAGCAACATGAACAACAGGTACAACAAGAACAGCAACATGAACAACAGGTACAGCAAGAACAAATACATCAACAACAAGCACAGCAAGAACAACAGGTACAACAAGAACAGCAACATGAACAACAGGTACAGCAAGAACAAATACATCAACAACAAGCACAGCAAGAACAACAGGTACAACAAGAACAGCAACATGAACAACAGGTACAACAAGAACAGCAACATGAACAACAGGTACAGCAAGAACAAATACATCAACAACAAGCACAGCAAGAACAACAGGTACAACAAGAACAGCAACATGAACAACAGGTACAGCAAGAACAAATACATCAACAACAAGCACAGCAAGAACAACAGGTACAACAAGAACAGCAACATGAACAACAGGTACAGCAAGAACAAATACATCAACAACAAGCACAGCAAGAACAACAGGTACAACAAGAACAGCAACATGAACAACAGGTACAACAAGAACAACAACAGCATTTTGAGGAGCAAGTTCAACAGCAACATTCTGAACAACATCAGGAACAACAGCAGCATTTTGAACAACAGGTACAGCAAGAACAAATACATCAACAACAAGCACAGCAAGAACAACAGGTACAACAAGAACTACAACAGCAACATATGAATAAATTTATATATATTATCCGTGAATACCAGAAAAATGTTATCTATAGAAATTTGAAATACACCATAACATTTAGTCAATATATACTTATCATTAATCCAATAAGATTTTGTTTGTAGTCTATTAAGTGTTATTCACCCTCCCCCCCCCAAAAAAAAAAATAATAATAATAATAATTGTGCTCACTTCGCTCACCTACACCCCCCCCCCCCCCCAGCAAAACCTGAAGGGGGAAGGCACCACCTTACCTCACCTTTCTTGACACGTTTTTGACACCTTACTCGACTTCTTTCCCTCCACCGTCACGACAGAGACAGACTCCTGGACGAACACCTGGCCGAGATGCCTCACCTGGACCCCAGAAACATGTCGCCGTCGGAGAAGCAATACCACCTGTTCCTGGCGCACGACTACAATCAGGACCTGCACCTTGATGGGGTGGAAATCATGCAGTCGATTTTCCATGGTAAGAGGGGTGCGTCGGAATGGAGAGAGACAGAGAGAAAGAGAGAGAGAGAGAGAGAGAGAGAGAGAGAGAGAGAGAGAGAGAGAGAGAGAGAGAGAGAGAGAGAGAGGGGCAAACAGAGAGAATGAGAGAGAACGTAAGAGAAAAAATAATAATCTCTTCAAATTATACTAGTATATATGCAAAGGGAACACACACACACACACACACACACACACACACACACACACACACACACACACACACACACACACACACACACACACACACACAATCAAACACACACACACAGTCAAACAAACAAACAAACAAACAAACAAAACACACCTTACTTCCATCCCACTCCCCTTTCTCACTCCATATTTCTTCTCTCCCCCCCCCAGATGATTCGAGCGAGATCTACGCAGACGAGGTACTGGCCCAGAAGATCGACTACCTCCTGGACCACTTTGACCGCGATCGGGACGGCAAGCTCTCGTTTCCCGAATTCATGATGTCAGACGCGAGATTCACCGCCGTGTAGTTGATGTCATGGCTTGTCATTATCTGCGATCTGTTTCTTTTCTTTTTTTTAATTGTTCATTTGTTTTATTTATTTGTTATCATTATTGTTATTGTTGTTTGTTATTGTTATTATGATTGTTCATATTATGCTTGTTGTCCTTATTATTGTTATTAATATTATTATCATTGTTATCATTATTATCATTGTTATCATTATTATCATTATTATCATTATTATTATTATTATCATTATTATTATTATTATTATTATTATTGCTATTATTATAATTATTATTATTATTATCATCGTTATTATTATCATTTTTATAATCACTATTGTTATCATTATCATTACTATATTTATCTTCATTATTATTTTTTATAATTATTATCATTTTTATTTTTTATAATTATTATCATTTTTATTTTTTTATAATTATTATCATTTTTATTTTTTATAATTATTATCATTTTTATTTTTATAATTATTACTATTTTTTTATAATTATCATTATCTTTTTTATAATTATCATTATTATTATTACTATTATTACCATTATTATTATCATTATTATTATTATCATTATTATTTTCATTAATGTTATTTTCATTATTATAATTTTCATTATCAATACTACCATTCTTGTTATTATGATAATTATTACCAGTGTTATTATCATTACTATCATTGTTGTCCCGTACCAGTGTCAGCTAGGTTGATAAAGTCTATTTTTGATTGTGTTCCAAGCGAAAGCCTCGGTATTTGTGTTTAATTTGTACAAAAATAAAATATTGCTGAAATTCGAGTTTTACTTTCAAGATTCTTTATGGAAGTAAGGATGACAAGCCGCAGGGATTCAATGAGGAGGGTGAAATTGCTGTAGCTGATCATAATTTAGTTGATTTTATTTGCACGAGGAATTCCGAAGGAGTCCTACTAGCCTTCGTTTATTTAACAACAACAAAAACAACAACAATAATAATGATAATAATTACTTTTCAAGTAACATATGTGGTGGTAGAATACAGAAGAATTCCAGTCTATAAGTGATAAAAACGACAAAATAAAGACCGATTCAAAATGCATAAAAGACTGACAAAACACCAACATATCCATTATGCTCAAGTGCTACTCGGTGATTTAGTACACTCATGATCACCGATGGAATCACATTTTGACATGTACGTCATGAAGAGATTTCTACGTCGATGGACAAAATATTCAATGCCTTGTCACACTGTAATTTTGTGTTATAGATTTTTCATAGTTTATAACTTACTCAGTACTCATCCTCATTTGTTTGTCGTTAAGTCTCTGTATACCGCTTCTACTACCCCATTCCCCGTTTCCTCTCTGTCCCTGTTGCTCTGCTTTTTGCCTACTGCCCTGCCATATCTCCGGTCCAAGGTCTAAATAAGTTTAGAACTTGATCCAGTCTATACGTATGCCTAGATATAAAGACTTTCGAAATATACAGCAACGTAATATAATCAACCTTTAAAAAAGTGCATCTATCGAAACGCTTAAATTGCTCGTACAGTTATGCATGCAATTATGTAGCAATTTGCGTAAAAAGAAAATATTTCAATACAAGCTAAACTATTATGCGTCTCATGAAGGGTCATAAGTTATCAAAGGAGAAGGTCCAGAGGATGTCCAACCGGTTGGGGGTTGGGGAAGTGAGGAAAAGCAGATGTACGGTTTGCTGTATAGCGGGGACAGGATGGTAGAATGTGTAGGACTGAAAGAGGAACATTGCATGAGGAGCATAGAGGTGGATCAGATTGTGACATGAGATAGGAATGTGTGAGGTGAGTGTGTCCAATGCGTAAGCGGGCAGTAGCAGTTTCTCAGCGTCTATCCTGATGGAATGGGATTGACCAAGGGCAGATGGAAGGTTTTATCATATGTAGTTTAATGGTGATAACGCTAGACCAGAAAGAATGCGGGTGAAGAGGAGGGTTTTGAAGTGAGGGTAATAGCCAGAGGCTGCTATACGTGAGTCTGGGTTGATGGGATGTGGACAAGGCGGCGGAGTGCGTTGGTGTATCTTCATGTCCATTGCCGGGGATCCCAATGTGGGTTGGGTAACCAGCAAAAACTGGCATATTTGTGTTTTAAGGCTAAACGGAATAGTTTGATGCTGAATCTTGCGGGCAAGGTTGATTGGCAGAAGGGGGAGGGGGGTCTGATACTGGTGTATCAGGTAAAGCAGATGGAGCAGATACGGGGTATGAGCCAAGGCGGGTATGCATAAGAAAAGGGTAAAGGTCGGAGGTGAGGAAAGGGTGAATGGGAGAGAAGTGCATCCATGCGGACAGAGGAAGGAGTAGATAGGTGTAGACAGGAGATAATAGTAGGAAAAAGGGATCCACAAGGGAAAGAAATAGCACAATAGCATACTTTACGTAAAAGACCAATGTGTCAACTTTGGTCTAATCGGCTTATCCGTCATATTCGCTTGATGTTACCGGTATAATTTTATTATAATTCTCGTGTTCAAAGCAACGATAAAGATTTGAATTATGAATAGCGGTAATGGCACACAAAATAGTCACAGTACCGTACAAAATTTAGATCAGTGACCCTGATTATTTCCCACATTCTCATGAAGAAAACTGTTCCTTCGAAAACGTGGAGTTATAAAGGAATACTGTGGTAAAATCTTGATATTTAGACTATTCAGGTGGCTGTGTTAGTAATATTTTATCGGACAATATTTAGTATAAGGTAGTGGCAGAGTTGGGTAATAAAACTTACATGAAATGATAGAACAATGCAAACCAAGACAAAGTTCTTCTATGACAATGTGTGGAACTGCTTCCCAAGGGTGCTATACGTAAATGAAAAGAGAAGATCCCCCAATTTTGGCTAATATACGCATATACTACCACGGAGGTCCAGGGCAAAGCGCCCCCTTGGCTAGGGAACATATACCACGGTGTTAGGTTAGGTTGGATGTTGGGATAGGATGTTTTGTTTAAGAACCACAGGGGGTCCTGTTTTACCCCATAATTTCCCTGATATACTTCATGCGCTCCCATGCTATCAGGACAATCAAATCAAGATTGTCGATGGAGATGGTGATCCTATTTCCTCAACAATTCATTTGCACAAGGAACAATGCCTAGAATCGTTGAAAGCTGTGGATTTCATTTAGAAAAATATCAAAATTGTTTGGAAAGTAACCCACTACCCTCTTCTACATATTGACCCATTATCTGATATTATTTGAACATTCATCGACATGTATAATTTGTAGGCCATTAATAGTGAGTGATATTTTTTTCTTTCCTTCATTGTAGTTCAAATATGAGAATTTATTTTCTTTGTTATACTGAACAATCTACCGAGTCATATCTAAGGTATGAAATCATTTGATATATTAACTTGTAAGTTCCTTGCCTCACAAATAATAATAATGAATCTGATCTTAATTCCAATTCTTGTTTACAGTCTACTTCAAGTTCAATTCTCCCTGATTTTTTTATTCGTCATTGCTTTATATTCTGGTAGAGATAATGATTAATAATTATTATTATTGTCTTGCCATAAATATACTCACAGGCATTATGTTAAAAAGAAAAAGATACTAATAGCAATAATAATAGCAAACATTACCATCATTCATTAAAAAATTCCCAGTGAAATGGTAATAATTACAGTAATGATTGAAGACTACTGAATGACCATTATATGATTAAAAACAAGAAATCACAATCATTATAATTGACATTTTGATATCACTAGTATCAATATAGTAATCAAAATATTAATGGTGCTGCTAAATATCACAGTCATCATTATTTTCCACTGCCATAATCCCCATACCACACGAAGGTAAATAAAATGCCACAACTTTGCTATGAAAGCACTGTATTGTCAAAATAAACAAGCACACCTTCGACACAAACCTCATCTTTGGCAACTCTCAACTTGCTGACCTGCTACACTATTATCAGACAAGAGACTACCAAGTTCAATGGTAAACATCCACATATCTAAAAATTCAAACTCTCGGCGAGATGCATAAATTTTCTTTTCTTCTTTAAATCTACAGAAACATGGGTCAAAGTCTGGGGTTTGGTTGAATCGCAGGTTCTTCCAGTTTTGTCACAGTGGAGAGACTTTTAGGCAGAGGGAGGGATGGGGGGAAGAAAGCAAGGTTTGTATTAAACTTGAAACTTTGTCCTTGCTTCTGAATGATGGGATACAATTCATTTTTCCTTTTGTCCTTTATTGATGTTTTCTTTTTCAATTCAACCATTACACCTCTCCACAGTACAATCCAATGCATGAAATCACTTTGTTAAATATACACTTGAATGCATAGTCCTCTTAAGCTGAATTAAGGATATCACTTGAATACATACTGAAAGTTCATAATTTGATCAAAGCAAAAAGAGAAAAAAATATTCTAATGATAATATCAGATAATCATAACAGCTTGTACGACCTTTTCAAATTAAGACTGTTTCATGTTGACTGAGAAATGGTTAAATACAAGTGACAAAAATAGAATTACAAATATTATTTATGAAGTACATAACCTCTAGGAACACTTTTTTTTCTTTCTTTTTTAATGTATAAAACATCCATATTTCTAAAGGCTATGAAATAATGTACTTCGACTTCTCATTTACGGCCTTGCTACGCACAAGAATATTACGACATTTAACACATATAAGAAATGAAAAAAGAAGTGACATGTGTACTACCATGCACAAAATTTCAAATAGATACACATCACAGGACCAACATATGAGACATTACATGGCTCTGTTCAACAGGTGTCTTGAAGCAGTGAAACCTGACTTGATTGAATCCACTTGTCAACAAGTAATACTTTTTCTAATTTTCCTACTGCTGAGTTTTCAACAATAACAATTACCTTTTCTTTAAATTTTAAGATTTTCATCTCTATATTGCACAATATTTGGCAAATGTGCCACTACACGCATTTAGAGCATGAAGAACATATTCCTTCTCTTGAGTTCACTTCTGCAGCTAGGTTGTGGCTTGAGGAATCTCAATTCAACCAATCTTTTGTGCAATCCACATCTTAACATCAAGTACTCATAAGGCAACCTTAAAATAAAATTGGAATAGACTTTTAGAACCTTTAACATGATCACTGGGAATAGAA